ACAGTAGGATAGAATTAAGTCATTAAACTAATAGAATCAATGAAGCACACTCTGAGACATTTCGTTTAAGTCCAATGTCCTTTCAGGTCTGATTTCTAGTTTTCTTTTCAAGCTGGTAAATTAGTTTGCAGTTAGGGTCAGTTCCCCTGATCTGCTGTGAAGGACAGTTCAGATTAACCTCGGTTCAGAAGTTTGGTCTATGTCTTTATCAAGTTTGTTTCTCCCGTTTCGGTGTTGTTACCTTGAATCGCCAGCAGGTGGTGCTATCTCATCTGCTCGCCCCAGAGGGGTTGGGGCTGGACAGGAACAAGATGGCTGCCTGCCTCGGAGCAGGCAACAGGAGCCCCACTCCGGCGGGCAGGACAGTCTCGGACGCAGGATGGGTGGCAGGGATCCCAGCAGATCTTCCCTGAAGCGGTTTGGTGTGGATCTCCTCGGGCCGGGTTGTGATGAGCTACCCGTCCCAGAGGCCGCGGCGGCAGCGACGACGGGAGCGCTGGTGGGGGGAGGGGCTGCGGCAGCGGCGGGACAGTGCAATGCAGTAAAACTGTCCAGTCGTTGCGATGTTCCAGCGGGGGCGATGGCCGAGCTCTGTCTGAAGAGCAGGCTGCAATGCTGGGGTCCCCAGCCCCCCGGGGCGAGAGTCAGAGACCCACTGCAGATCTCCCTTGCAGAGGGCTTCAGACGCCGGGTTGCCCGGTGGTGGGAATTCTTAGTTGGGATGGACTCCTGTAACAAATGAAGGTTAACAAGAGAAAAACAAATAGAAGTTTATTAACACATATATCTCATGTGTACATGGAAAATAACCTGGAGAAATGAGTAAATCTCTAGAGTAAATCTCAAAGAGATGGCTTTGACTTCAAATTAAATACCCTGATAAAAAATAAAGGGTGTGGGAGAGATCCAGTCATGACAAGGTAACCAGGAAAATCAGGGTCAACAAGAGCAGACAGGCTATACAGATTTCAGCTGATGCCCTCTCCATGGATGAGTTTCTAGTGATTTTAGATTCTCTTCCTGATGCACAGAAGGAACTACCCTTACAAATGGAGGTGTCCTTTTTAGATATATAATTTTTCTTACAAAAGGGTAATTTCTCCTTTGTTTTTAGAGCTTATCTTGTGTCTGTTTTCCCAAAGTAATCAGTTCAAAACAATCCTTTGGCTAAAGAGGCATATTTAGGGTGATATATTCTGGTCTCCTATAGTCATGTTTTGGGGTAGTGTGTCCTGAACCCCATCATTTTCATTTATTTACTTATGTTTAGAGAGAGGGTCTCTCTTTGTCATCCAGGCTGGAGTGCAGTGGTGTGATCATAGCTCACTGCAGCCTCAAACTCCTGGGCTAAAGTGATCCTCCTGCCTCAGCCTCCCCAGTAGATGGGACTGTAGGTGAGTACCACCACACCGAGTTACTTTCATTTATTTCTGCATTTTTTTAGTCAACTAATGTACACAGACATTTTTACCCTCTCTTGGAGATTTAGAAAAAGGAAAAAAGAGAATTCACTGTGACACGAGTTTATTGGACATATCGTAGAGAATCAAGCTGATCTTAAAAGCGGTAATGGTACTTTGAGTCCAGCATTAGCTGGAAAAAGGTAGCTACCTTCTCTACATATTTTTTTCAGTTTCTTAGATCTTATAGCATTTTCTTTGGGTGGATCAAATAGAAACCACTCTAGATATTATTAATATGAAGGAATTTAATTTAGGGGATTGTATGTATAAAAAACAGACTGAAGTGGTCCTCTAGGCTGGGCCTCTGGGGATCTCTGAGGCAGTCAAATAGAATTGAAGACAAATACTTGTAGCTGCAATCCAAGGTCAGGAAAATAGAAGAATCAAGAAGTCACAATCCTTCTCTGCTTCTCAGAAAACTAAAAGAAGCTCAACACTGAACCTAGGGTCTCCATACCATACTTGCTAGAAGCAAAAGCCACTATGCACTCACCTTTCAGATCTCAAATGAAATGATGCAATTCATAGAATTCGATTTATATGCACAACCCTAGCTGCAAGGGAGTTGAAAGGGTATTTTTAACTTTCCAGCACTTCCAACTAGAAAAAAGGTGAAATAAGACAGGTGCGGTAGCTCATAACTGTAGTCCCAGAACTTTGGAAGGCCAAGGTGGGAGGATTGCTGGAGCTCAGGAGTTTGAGACCAACTTAGGCAACATAGTGAGACCTTGTCTTTACCAAAAAAAAATAGTAATAAAAAATTAGCTGGGCATGGTAATACATGCCTGTAGTCCTAGTTCAAGGCTATGGTAACTGGGGCTTGCCACTGCACTCCAGCCTGGATGACAGAGTGAGACTCCAACTCAGAAAAAAAAGAAAGAAAAAGGGTGGAATAGAGGTTGGGCAAGCCAATCCACAGATATATACCACAATAGCTTAGGAGTTTTATTCATTTATGTTTGTTTTCTAGCAGGGATACTTGAGTTGTTTGTGGTGAGAACAGGCAAAGGAAAACTGAATAGTAGTTGCCGTTGAGAAAGGAAATGTCAAGTTACAAAAAGCTTCTCTTTGAAGTAGCCTGAACCTTTTCAATCTTTGGGTTTTGTTGCTTGATGCTGAGTGGGGTGTGGCAGAAAAACTCATAGATTCTTCAGCTTGTTTCTAAAATGAATTTTATTTTATTTTATTTTGAGTTGGAGTCTCACTCGGTCACCCAGATTGGAGTGCAGGGGCCGCTCCCGGGCACCGCAGCCTCGACCTGCTGGGCTCCGGCGATCCTTCCGCCTCCGCCTTCCGAGTAGCCGGAACGACAGGCGCGCGCTACCACGCCCGGCTGATTTTTGATTTCTTGTAGAGATGAGGTCTCGCCAAGTTGCCCAGGCGGGTCTCGAACCCGCGGGCTCAGGCAATGCACTTACCTCAGCCTCCCAAAGCGCAGGATTACAGGCTGTGGCACCGAGCCCGGCTTCTAAAGCGAATTTGAGAGTGGCCAGCAAAGTTTGTTTTTTTTCGATTCCGCAGAGGCTTTATTGAGGTCGGGGGGTGGGGGTGGGGGTGGGGGCTCAGTCCTTCTTGGCCGCCGCCTTCCTCATGGCAGCCAGCACGTCGCTCAGCTCCTGGTGCTTCCCCTTGGCGCGGATGTGCGTCCCCATCCGTTTCTCGATGAACTTGAGGGCCCGCTTGGCCTTGGAGACCTTGAGCGGTTCCATGGCGCGCCGCTCAGAGGGGCCGAAGCCACACTCCTCCCGCATCATGTCCCGCACGAACTTGGTGCGCTTGGTCAGGCGCCCGCGGCGGTGGCTGTGCCTCGGCTTGTTCACGTTCGCGGTCACCTTGTGGCCCCAGTTGAGGCCCACGGCCATGGGCCATGGCGGCTGCTTGCCGATGGCTGCCGCGGCGGAAGGGCGGCAAAGTTTTAAAGCAAAGTTTGCAAGCGAGAAAAAGAGAAGGAAAAAGGAAGATTCATGGCAGAAGGACCTGCCATGGGCAAGTTTTTTCAAAGAAGAAAAACTGGGCTTTTGCCTTCAAATGTCACACTACATATGGCTACCTAATTATTGGTATGCAAATGAGGGTGGAGCACAGGTAACTGCTGCCCTCTCCGGCGCTGATGGGAGGAGGGGTGGTCTTATTATCATTTTTATGGTTTTGATCAGTTAAGAGGTGGGGTTGAGCCTTTTTTTTTTTTTTTGAGTTGAAGTCTGACTCTGTTGCTCAGGCTGGAGTGCAGTGGCATGCTCACAGCCACCGCAGACTCGACCTGCTTGGGCTCAGGCAATCCTTCCACTTCAGCCTTCCAAGTGGTTGGAACTATAAGGCATGCGCCACCACGCCCGGCTAATTTTTGGTTTTATTGTGGAGATGAGGTGTCACTAAGTTGCCCAGGCTGGTCTCAAACCCATGGACTCAGGCAATCCTCTCATCTCAGCCTCCCAAAGTGCTGGGATTATAGGCATGAGCTACCATGCCCAGCTGAGGTTGAGCTTTTTACCTTCAATAGGGAACCTGAAGGATTTTTGGTGATTATGAGCTGAAAGGTTGGGCTGTCCTAGCTTTGTATCTGATGGGATTTTCTTTTGATTTTTCCCAGGGGGTGGGATAGGCTGCCAGCTTAATGTAATTTTAAAAATGTCTGAACACTTTCTAAAACCTGCCTATGGGAAATTTATCTATCTATGTCTAACCTGTGCTAGCTACCCTGCCTCATTACTAATTTAGAGAAGTCACTATAACCAGACCAACATATCACTGCTTCTGTGGGTCTAGCTGTAATCCTAGCGCTTTGGGAGGCAGAGGTGAGAGGATTGCCTGAGTCCAGGAGTTTGAGACTAGGCTGGGCAACTTGGCTAGACCTCATCTCTACAATAAGTAAAAAAATTCCAGGTGTGGTGGTACGTGCCTGTAGTTCCACATACTTGGAAGGCTGAGGCAGAAGGATCCCCTGAGTCTAGCAGGTCGAGGCTGCAGTAGCCATGAGTGTGCCACTGCACTCCAGCCTGGGCGACAAAGAGAGACTGACTCAAAAAAAAAAAAAAAAAAATCTTTCAGTCCATACATCTTTGTGACATGTGAGAGACAGGAAGGAGTCTTCAAACTTGTTCTTCCTATGACAAACTCTGGTCTAATATACATGGTTTAACTCAAGTGCAAGATGGGCTCTGTGAGCATTTCCTCTTTTGCACAGTAAAGGTATAGTAATAAGCAACAAAACTGCAGCTTGCCTTCCCACGAAAGGAAACCAAAGAATCGATGGTGTGTGAAGAACTCTGAGAAAGGACTCAAAAAAAAAAAAAAAGAATCTGCTTCTTTCATACTCTTCCATTTCAGAGGAGAAAAAAATCAAGAATAATCAGAACTCAGCAATTTCAAGATGCTTAACTGATAATCTTAACACATTGATTTTTTGTGTGTTCCCTGACCCTATCCTAAACTTGCTTTATGGTCATTATATTAAGGGCTGAGACAGACAAGAGTTTAACCCAGAAATAAGGTCACTCGTTGTTGTTCAGAATGTCCTATGTTGATAATACTTTAAGAGTTAGGTTAATTCTTAAATTTTTAAAAGTTTTCTTTAGTATCTTTTTTTTTTTTTTTTTTTGCAGAAGGTACATAGGTTTACGGACTGTAGTTGTAACACCCACTAGCAAGTCATGGGTTGGTAAACACAGAATGAGGAGACAAAAGGTTCCAGTGACAATAAAAATAAACTGTGTTTCCCCATCTGTGAAATGAGGAAGCAGAACTGATTTCCATGCTTCTGTCCTATTTCGGCATTTTATGATTCTAAGTAATAAACAAGGGTAAGTATAAAATAGTAACATTTAATGAGCATGTCCACATAATCTCATTTACTCCTTACAAGAACCTGTGAGAGCCGGGCTCAGTGGTTCAGCCTGTAATTCCGTGCTTTGGGAGGCCGAGGTGAGCGAATTGCCTGAGCCCGCGGGTTTGAGACCCACCTGGGCAACTTGGTGAGACCTTGTTTCTACAATAAATCAAAAAAATTAGCCGGGCGTGGTAGTGCGCGTCTGTAGTTCCGGCTACTTGGAAGGCTGAGGTGGAAGGATTGCCGGAGCCCAGCAGGTTGACTCTGGGGTGGTGGTGAGTGTGCCACTGCACTCCAGCCTGGGCGACAGATGAGACTCCAACTCAAAAAAAAAAAAAAAAA